CAATGGTTTGCTTACCACCCCGAGTAGTGATTGTCATACAGTGCGCATCATTCTTTGGGTTTTGGACATTGTTGCTAGGAAGAGTGCCCGGTTGCCTTGTGTTCACTGTCGCACATAATTGGGCCACTTGCAATTCGATCTGTTTAATCAAAATTGCATGTGTATCAACTTTTTTCTCAATACTAGCTAAATCACACCTCAACTCTTTAATGTGTTCCTCACTAGTGTCGAACCTCCTCATCATTTTGGTGCAACATATCCTCAACTCGCTCCATACTATCTCCACCATCCCTAGGAGTTACTTCACGATTTTGAGGAGGGACATAGGGCCCATTCCTGTCATTTCTATTAGCATAGTTACCCCTGTTAAAGTTGTTGTCGCGGTTGTAGTTTCCATCTTGGACATAATGACCCTCACGGTTGTATTTACCATAGTTCCGACCTTGGTTCCCTTGACCTTGGAGCCAATTATCCTGATTTGAGCCTTGGGCGCTTGGTCGGAAACCCCCCGTCTGCTCATTTACTTCATAAGTGTCCTCTGCATAATAACACTCATCATTTTGTGGCGGTGGTTTCGACAAGTAGTTGACTGCATTTATCTTTTCTGCACCCCCAGTGACATGTTTTAGTACCAACCCAAGCTCGGTTCTCATCTGAGCCATTTCTTCCCGAATCTCATCTGTGGCTGGGTTGTGAGTGGACTGCACTGCGAAGGTGTTTCTCCCTGTATCAGACTTCCTAGTACTCCAAGCTTTGTTATTCTGGTAGATTTTCTCTGATTTTTCAGCGATCTCAGCATAAGGGCATTCTTCAAAAGATCCACCTGCTATATTGTCCAACACCGCTTTGTTGTTATCATCCTGTCCCCGATAGAAGTATTCTTTCAGTGACTCATCATCTATACGGTGATTTGGAACACTTTTCAAGAATGAGGTAAATCTATCCCCAGAACTACTAACTGACTCTCCTGGTAGTGCCACAAAGTTGTTCACTCTGTCTTTGGGGTTTAGTTTCTTGGAGACCGGATAGTAGCGTGCAAAGAAAATATCTCTTAATTGGTTCCAAGTGAAGATTGAGTTGTATGGGAGCTCAGTGAACCATATAGCAACCTCTCCCGTTAGTGAGAGAGGAAACACTCTGAGCCCTATTACATCTAGATCGAAATCAGGCCTCCCCATACAACTATTACACACTACCCTTACCTTAGCTATATGGGCATGTGGATCCTCAGAAGGTAGCCCTGAAAATAAACCTCTGGCAGTGAGCATTTGCATCAGGCTACTAGTTACCACAAAGGTGTGGCCTGTGGGTAGAGGGGGCAAGACAAGTGGCCTATCCGAGTCTGCTATGTTATCATACCCTCTGTAGTATGCTTGGGGCCGTGGAACGAGATTTTGTCCCCTCTGTTGATGATCACCCGGAGCATCGGGTAACATCTGACCATGAACATCAACTGGAGCTGGGATGTTCTGGTTCGGATCCTCATCATTTATTCCCAAGTTTCAATTCATATTGCGCAGTGTACGCTCTAACTCGTGATCGTAGGGAAACAACGGTTCTCTTCCTCTCTGTGTATTTAGCATACAAGGAGGATAGTTTTGAAAAGAAATCAAAACCAATAAAACAAAGTAAAATCAAGAAAAAATCAACTAAACTGTAGTAATAGGTTCAAGTTAATCTAAAAGCTATAATTCCCCGGCAGCGGCGTCAAAATTTGATACGCTCAAACTTACTTCTCAAAAAAGAAGTAAAGCGGTCGTGTCAAGTAAATAACCCAACTAGTGAGGATGGGATCGTTCCCACGAGGAAAATAGTCTAGACTTAACTTCAACCTATTATTACTATTGTTTGGTTAATGACTTCCTTGGAAAGTGAAAAAACAATAAAGGGGGGTCTCTATTTCTAAATGAGTGAAAATAAATAACGAACTTGAAAGAGACACTTAACAGCTTTGAATGTTGGGTTTTAATCAATTAATCAAAGTAACTAGGGTTTACGTGTTCCCTACAGGCTCATAGCTTGATAACTCCAACTATAACAATTCTTTCCTAGTATCTTGCATGCAAAGTGATAAGTTATGTATTTCTAAATCCTTGGTCCTGCATCTAGAAAATCTCACTCCGCACCTTGGTCCGGCTACGTGTGTTGCTATCCTAACCCTTATCCTTACCTCATATTAAGCATTGTATTCGATATTTGACTAAGTTATTACCTCTTACCAATCAATACTAGCCTATTAGATTGTATACACTAAATCTATGTTAATAATTCTTTTCTTACTATCTACCTCCTTGGTCCGGCAAGTAGCATTAAGGCGGGTTCTAACGTTGGCCATTCGTTAAAAAGACTTTTAAGCGAAAGAATTATTAATACATGCAAGACACTAATCTAGAATGTTATTTTTGTTAGGGTTTATCTCATTATTTGCCTATGGTTCCCACAACCCTAGTTATGGAGTTTAGTTACTCATAGACATAAACACAATATTCAAATATATTAAATACGAATTCATGTACTTACTTCAATGAGAAAGAATAAAATCCAAAGTTTGCTTGATTAATCTCCAAAAATCACTTGCATGAATCGCAAAATCTAACACTATACACAAAGTCTAATAATACGGAGTCTAACTATCTGATGTCTAACCTCAAAAATGAGGTTTTTCGAACTATTTATAAAAAAACAAAAACCTAATTAAACTAGGATTCTAATTGTTGGAAATCTGCCAAAACGCGGTTGGGTCGACGGACCTCGCGACGGACCGTCGTGGTTACAACAGACCGTCATGGACTCCGTCGTCCCATAGTTGTGCAATTTCCTCTGCTGCTCTCTTCATTCCCCTTGACGGCAAGTATGACGGACCGTCATAGGCACAACGGTCCGTGGAGAGTCTTCGTTTTAAAACACTTCAACTCTTAGAATCTGGGTACTGGGATCACTTCTCTGAACTTCACGACGAACCTGCAGGACGGACCGTCAGAGATACGACGGACCATCACAAGCTTCGTAATCCCACACTTGGTCAGACTTCCCCATCTTCCTTCAACAGCTGCACTACGCTGCCACCTACGGACCGTCACAAGCACGACGGATCGTCATAAGCTCAGTAGGTGGTCTCTTCTGCAGTTCTTTGCTCAAAATCTCCGCATTCAGCTTTAGATAGATTTCCTGCAAAACAAAGAGAAACTTATATAAAAATTAGCACAAAAAGGCTTTTGGACACACTAAACTTAAGAAAAAAGTAATAATACTACCGTGAAACCACGGTATATCACACAACTCATTAGAACTTGTAATTTAATTTTGTGTACTATCACATATTCCATGACACCATCCCTATGGTGAGCATATCCTTCAAGGAAGAAATTATATTATCATTGTCATGGTCAAAATTTTTACGAGCAAGACATGTTTCTTGTTTTACTTTTGTTGTACCATAGGTACGCAATAAATAACAAATTTGTATTGCCACACAATAATGATTACAACCCTTATAGGCAAGAACTTTTCTTTCTTTTGCCCTTTCGATAGTTCATAACAAACATATCATAATATTCATGACATATAAATGCAAACGACCATTGACCGTTCATGTCAAATAAAATTTATATATTTCTCTCATACCTCCCGTAGAGATGAGATGTGACATATATCATTTTTTTCTTCAAACCTTCCATAGAGGTGAGTTGCGCATATATCCAACCTATAATGATTTTATCACATCTTGACTCATTCTCTTATAGAATGGTCGAGCATTCACGATACTCATCACAAGTCACCTTCTCTTCAAGGAATGAACTAATCATTTATATCTACTTCATTAATTTGCTTTGTAAGCACATTGTCATGGTTTTAAAATTCATCATATTTTCATGACACACCTCGACATCACTTTGAAAGTTCAAGTGTACCATCACTTTATCTTTTTGTCTTTTGATGGAGGATTTATAAACTTGTCAAATTAATGGATTGATAATATTCACAAGTCCAATGACCTTTAATACCATTTTGATAATAAAAATTATCTTCGCATTTTGAAGGACTATTTGGAGAACTCATAATGTTCTTCCTTTTATAATTACCACAATGATGACTATTATAATTTCGTCCCTTCACATCCTTTTTTATATTGTTAGTCATTTGTCATCTTTCTGACTAATTATTTACTACTACCATCGGATTTCAAAGTTATCATATGTTGCTACAACATTCTGTTCAAGGAATGGAGCAAATTCAATAAGACGAATTTCAAGGCTTTTCATCAAAGCCTTAGTCATCATTCTATCATCACTATGGTGCATTGACTCAAACTCAATGTCTTATCCATATAAGGTGTGTTAGGCCAAATTATATGGGACTTGAACCCAATCCTTATCATCATGGTGAATCAAAACTCAAATTGATGTCTTACCCCCTTGGTGCGATATAACTTGAATTTATCGTCTTATCCTTAAATATTTTTCATTATGTGCATCTGGGACTTTAACCAGATGTCTTACCCTTTTAGTGCGATGAGACTTAAATCCATCCTCTTCCCTTCAATCAATGTCATATAAGTCAATACCGATGGAACTCAATCATGAGCCTTTAAATGAAATCAAGAATTATAGAAGCAAATTTAGTCAAAATAAGATTGAGAGTTTTCTCACCTCTAACAATTATAAATATTAATAAGTTTCTCATAACTAACACTTAGAGAATCAACATAAAAAATTACTTCTTTATCCTTCACTTCTTTTCTGAAACGAAGAACTGTTAGTATAATCATAAATCAATGTATAAAATTGTTAAAGTAAAACAAATCAATATGTTTTACATTTTCATATATCACATATATACTAAAATAAATTATTAGTATAAGAGGAATTTTTGAAAATATAAATATATAACAAGAAAAAATAAATACAACATGTTCCTGCTCACAAGTATTTCAGCTATGTTCCTACACCATTTTAGGTCTACGGCAACAGTAAATCTTGACAACGCTTATAAAGTGTTGCCTAAAATACTTTTGGGAACACTTTTAAAGTGTAGCCAATGATTTTGACTTTTAGCTACATTAATTTTAGCAACACTTCTAAAGTGTACTCTTTAATGGGATAAACTACACTTTATAAGTGTTGTTATAGTTGGCAACAACTATTTACATGAATGGCCACACTTCTAAAGTGTGTTATTTTTATAATTGAAAGTACAACACATTAAAAATGTGACCTTAGTGTTTTCACCAAAATTTTATATTCCCTCCAACATTTTAACATTAAAATTTCATCTCCCTCCCATTTTTATTTGCCCAAAAAAATAACACATTAAAGAAAAATTAAAAAGAATAAAACATTAAAGAAATAAAAAAAGGCCATGTTTCCTAAAACTTCAGCTGAAGCTTCCATTTTCAGCTGAAGAACCTGTCATCTTCGGTGGCTTCATCTTCATCATCGGTGGTCGTTCGGAGATCTCGATCTACTCGGAGTAAATTTTTTCAGTCCGCGTGTCTCGGATATCGTGATTCTGAAAATGAAGCAGCACAGGTTTATTTTGTATGTTTTTTGTTGCATTCTTCAGCTTTGATCAAAGCAGTTTGAGTTCTTCATCTTTTAGAAATTACTTGTTCTATTTTGTTGATCACCTTTGCTTTATTTAAAATTGTTTGATGAATGATTCTTGACATTCATGTTGAAAAGTCGGTTAAGGTTTTCAACCTTGAGTTATTGAACTAGTAAAGCCACAAATATTCTTTATTTGTAAATCTACATTTTCAGGACATAATGCTTCAATAATTTCCTACTTTCATTTGTACAGAAGTAGAGCCAGGACTCAACTTCCAGTTTCTGCAGCGCTCATCGCAGCAGTTGGTTAGTGATAACGTTTTTGATTCATAAACTTGTACTTCAACTAATTTAGTCGTTTTGGCCATAAGTATAGATAGTAACTCTATTTGCTGGAAATATGTCAAAACGCGACTGGGTCGACAGACCTCGCGATGGGACGTCGTGGTCACAACGATCCGTCGTGGACCTCGCAACGGGCCGTCGTAGTCATGAGAGGCCATCGGGTCATGACGGGCCGTGGTCATGACGGGCTGTCGTAGTCATCTGTCGTGGTCATGACGGGCCGTCGTGGACTCCGTCGTCCCATACTTGCAAGTTTCTTCTGCTACTTCTCTGATCTTCATGAAGAACATGCAGGACGGACCGTCATGGCTACGACGGTCCGTCACGCTTTCCGTTACAGCTGAAATTTTAAATTGATTAATTGTTAAATTTCTTGATTTTGTGTTCTTTCTTGATGGAACAGATTTGTTTACTAGAAGAATTGATATTCAAGCAGTTAACGTTGTTATCAATTCTGATTTTCCTAAGAACTCAGAAACGTATTTGCACAGGGTATGTATAACAGATCTTTGATCTTGCTTATTAACTTATATATTGTTTTTGCTATTTCGTCATCATTGCTAATTTATTGTTAGTGGCTTTGGTTTGAATTGAGCTAAGGTTTTGTTTCTCTTAAACACTATTCATCTTGCTTGTTTGGTATGGTTGAAGTGTAATTTTTCTATGTCAGATTTAGTTTCCTTGTTTGATCGTGTGGAACATATTAACTACACAAGGAAACTAATCTAATTTTCTTTAATTTTTGCTGCTGCTATAATCTACAATCTGGACTTGTCTCTCTATTTTCTTTCTTATTATATAGAATATCCATGTTATAACCATAACTTTTGACATCCTAGTAGAAGGCATGCTTCCATAACTACAAACAAATAAACAAATAATTATTAGGAGAATCTAATTGTTTGTGTCTCCTCGTTAATTCCTTTTTTCTTTAGTGTTCGTGTTAGTTTGCGTGCATCATGGTTATTGTATAACACCAAATATTTTATATTGTTTCTTATGAAGTTTGAACTCTAATGCAATTATTCATTGTTGTTGAACTCATTTGGAATTCTAGACACCTAAGGGAAGATCATCTACTTTGAACATCAAAAGACAAGTAGGCATCTACTTTGAACATCAAAAGATGCAATCTAGTTTTCTGTAATTGCTGGATTTCTTGTCTCTCTATATTGTTGCAATCTGAACTTCTTACCTCTTCTATATAACTGCCAATATCTTATTTGTGTAGGGAAATGGAGGTGATCAAATTTGAAGTGGATGATGAAGAGTTTTTGAACTATTGTAAAAGTTTAAATACATATTTGATTTATTATGTACACATTTAGAATATTGATGTATAAGTATGGGTATGTACACAACACATACTATCTTTTGGTTGTACATGAAATATTTCTCGAAGTTTATTTGAAATATATAGCTTCAATTTAATGATTAATTAGTTCATTTTGTGTTTTTGGTCACTTGTATGTATGTAAATATATTATAAATATTTGTGCTACATGTAGGCTTATAAATGTGGAAGTTACACTTTGTAAGTGTTGCTCTAGGTAGATAAAAAGTTACACTTTGAAAGTGTTGCAATAGATGACCAATAAAAGGCAACACTTTTTAAGTGTGACCAATAAATCTTAAAAGGCAACGCTTTTAAGTGTAGTCTAACAAAAAATAGGTGTTGCTAATGCACGTATTCAAAGCGTGCTCTTATGCCTATTTGGCTACGCTTTATAAGTGTAGCCAAAGATGGCAACATTTAAAAAGTGTTTCCTAATGTAAAAGGTTACGCTTCTTTTGGGCAGCCTCTAAAAAGTGCTGCTGAATGTCCAAAAGTGTAGCCTTTTATCAAAGGCCACACTTTTTGCTAGTTTAGGCTACACTTACGTGGTGTTGTTGTAGGCCGAAAATGGTGTAGTGAACACTTTTGCGAAGTGCTATAACCTTTAGAGCATACTCGTGCTGATAACTTGTTATACAATCAAGCTCATAAGCATATAATTATAAAGAGAAGAAGACAAGAGAAGTAGATAGAAGAAGAGGAAATTTCTTCTTATTCAAGTATATGTAAGTCTCATCTGTATATCATACAATAGTGAATGAACAACTCTATTGATATGTTGAGAAATCACTCCAAAAGTTAGCATATTAAGTATCATAATAAACAGATACATTCTTATCAAAAAAAAGGTTCATGAAACCTAGTGAATATGGATGATTGTTCATGTACTAACTTTATGGACTATCCACTCATTCAATGGATTTAAAATAATATTTAATTAATAAAAGAATTGTCTACAAAAATTGTGCCCCTTCGATTATTTTTTTTCTTTGTAAAATCTGTTCCCCGACTCCTTGATCTGCCAATTTCTCAAATGTGTGTGAACATGAAAAAAAATAGAAAAAAGAAAGTAATCTTGTTAGAGTAAAAAAGCTTAAGTTATATATGTAAATAATGTAATCAATATAAAAAAAAATCACAAAAATAAACTTATTTATCATTGGATTGATAAAGACAAAAAAAAAACTCAGAAACATTTGATTAAACAAATAAAGTATAAAATAATAAAATATAGGTAAGCCAGCAAGACTGTCTGATGGGCCTAGAGTCGTCAAAAGGGGCATAACTCATAGGGTCATATCAATTCAATTCGTTATTGGAGTTCGATTGTGATAGAATTTTGTAAGCTTATTTAAATGGGAAACTTTTTAAAATGTCAATACTTTAACATTTAATAGGAATCATTTTCAATACTTTTAATATTTAGTAAAAATGTCAAAAGTTTAGTTTATTATGCATCTTATTTAAGTTTTTAATTATTTAATTTAATTTAAAGAACGGAAAAGGGCCTAAAATAACCTCAAAGTATTGAAAATGGTATAAAATTACCCTTCATCCACCTATTGGCTCCAAAATACCCTTCCCACCCACCTATTGGGTCAAAAATACCCTTATCATCCACCTTTTGGTTCAAAATTGACCACTTATTTAACGGTTTTATATTTAAAGTGTTTAAATATTTTTTGAAATACGTGGCACTCAACTATTTGTTATTATTTAACTTATTAGTATAATTTATAAATCAATCCACTACCCACTCATTACTAATTAAACCCTTCTAAATTAATAAACTCGTCACATTATTACTGCAAGCTAGTGCCAATCGAGTGTTTTTAAAAATTTGAGGCGAAAATATCTATAGAAGTAAATTATCATACATTCAAGTGTCTAAATAAAAATCACCGATAAACTTAAAAGTCTAACTATGTTCATCTTAATTATTGTTACGTTTCAATTATGTGATGTTATTTTAAAAATAATATATTAAAGGTTTAAAAACAAATCATAAATATTTATAAAATCATATCTAAAAAAAGTGCGTGAATTAATCCGGGATGTATTACTTCTTTACCTTTAATCATAAATTTCTAATCAATTTTGAAAGAAAGTGTCCTTCTAAGTAAGCGGCTCAACCTAAATTTAATTGGGGCTTCGATTCGGACTCGAATAATTTTGGATGTCATTTTCATGAATCTATAATTTCATCGTATTTTAGTAGTGTTTATGACGATTTTGATATCATAATTGGATTATTAATTGGGTGAGGTTTAGTTAGTAATGAGTGGGTAGTGGGTTGGTTTATAAATTATATTAATAAATTAAAATCATTACCAATAGTTGAACGCCAAATATTTTAAAAAATATTTAAAGAGTTAAATTTTAATACAATTAAAAAAGTGATCAATTTTGAACCCAAAGGTGGATGACAAGGGTACTTTGGAGCCAATAGGTGGATGAAAAGGCATTTTGGAGCAAATAGGTGGATGAAAAGGACATTTTGGAGTCAATAGGTGGATGAAGGGTAATTTTGTACCATTTTGAACACTTTAAGGATATTTTAGGCCATTTTCCGTTTAAAGAATATAATTGTTAACTAACAAAAAGAAGAAATTTAGGGAAGAGAATTTTTTTAAAAAGTAACAATTGCTTAAAAATCTCATCAGTTACATAAATTCAAAAGTAAATACAAATTCAAAAAAAAAAAACACAAAGAATTCATCCCACTTGTTTATCAAAATTCTAGTATCGTTTTTTATATTTTTATTGAAAATACTCATTTATGTTGAAATGAATTCGATTAAATTGCGTTTTTTAAATTTGTATTTTTAGAATATTGTATCAACATCAATAGATATTTTTTAATTATATATGCTTTTTTTTCTAGAATCATGTATCTTTCTTTAATTGTATTCATATGTAATGATTATATTTTATTGGAATACAATCCGTACAATTTTTGTACTCTAAATAAAAGAAAAATATATTTAGCAGTTATGTAATATAATTTTGATCAATATGATACAATTTTAGTTTCACTATGAAAGTAAAATACAAATTTTAATTTAAATGGTAAAGTGAACACATAAAATATAAAATTTATTGATATACAATTATGATGAAAACATAATAAAAAGAAATGCAGACTTGTTGTCATTAAAATTGAGACTAAAATACGAAATGAGCACAATAAATACTCATATCAGTTTGAATACAAAATTGACTTTGTTGATATATCATTATGATGAACACAAAAAAATACAAACTTTTTTTAATACAATGTGAGAGTCAAATACAAAATGATCACAATAAAATACTCATCACAATACGATATTCAATTTTAATTTGAATTGTAAAGTGAATACATAAAATATAAAAGTTGTTGGTATACAATTATGATGAAAACATAATAAAAAGAAATACAAACTTTTTGCATTGAAAATTAAGATTGAAATACAAAATGAGCACAATAAATACGCACTTCAATTGAAATACAAATGTAACTTTGTTGGTATACCACTATGATGAATGCAAAATTAAAAAAAAGAACTTGTTTGTATATAAAGTGATATTGAAATACAAAATAAACAAATTAAAATATAAATTATCGTCATTTGTGTTAGAAGTAGAAAATTGTGATATTTGGAAAATAAAACATTGTTGATTAAGCTGGATACCTCTAGTAATTCTCTTTGATTGTGTCATTGGAGAGTAATTTAGAGTCTATCAAACTCAAAACGTGATTTCAAGTGCAAACAACAATTTGAACGATTTAAACAAAAATATAATCATGAAAAAAAATATTTAAAATGGATAAAGACTCATATTTTAATAAAAGGGATTGTGTGAATATATTTATAAATATATTTTTCAATTTATGGAAAAAAAAAAGAAGAAGAAGAGAGAGGCAGATTTTGAAATAGAGAAGAATTGGAATATGAAAATATGAGAGAGAGAAAATATTTCATTCTTTAAAAAACATATGAGAGAGGATTAATTGAAAATTTTGTAATTAAAATGAGAAAAAATAGGAAGTAAATTAGAATACACAATTCTTTCAAAAATAATGACATTTTGACATTTTGTCACGACCCAAACGGGTCGCGAGTGGCACCCACATTTATCCTCATATGTGAGCGAATCAACAAATCTAACCCCATCATTTCAAACATTATGAACTAAATACATTGCGGAAGACTTAAAACTCATTAACAAAATAAATCAAATAACTTCTAAAAACTCAAACACTTATTATTATCCCCAAAATCTGGAAGTCATCATCACAAGAACATCTATCTCAAATTACTAACCTACGAGTATCTAAGAAGCTAGAATAAGTAAAAAGCTAGTCCATGCCAGAACTTTAAGGCATCAAGACATGAAGAAGAAGATCCAGTCCAAGCTAGAAGCTTTAGCTCACCCCTGAAATCTGGTGTGACGAAGACTGGCTAGAGTTGCGATTGAGTTGAAGATGACAGTACGTTTGCTGCACTCCACAATGAACAAAAAGAAAACATACAAGTAGGGGTCAATACAAAACACAGGTACTTAGTAGATATCATCGGCCAACTCAAAATAGAAAACAGTATATATATCAGATAACATCATAAAATCAACTACAATACTCAACATGCGGCATTTACAATTACCATAATCCTTTGTCACAACACCAAGCACATCAATGAGGACTCACGCCTCCCCATCATACTTATTTGGGAATTAGGTTCATTAAATTAAGTATATTGACATATTTCAAGATTCATTCTCTTTGCTAATCCTGGTGCCGGAATGTGACACTTCGATCCTCATATACTATCCTGGTACCGGAACGTGGAACCCGATCCATATACTATCCTGGTGTCGGAACGTGACACTCCGATCCTCATATACTATCTTGGTACCGGAACGTGGCACCCGATCCATATACTATCCTGGTGT